TTTCATGACCAATGGACCAATAGAAATGACTTGAAATACCAGTCAAAAGTTTGCACACACCTAACTGAATATGCATTTTTTATAATCTTATTATTTTCATGAAGTGCTGACAAGACAATCATGACTCTATGTGACCATTTGGGAAGCATTTCTCCAAAATATCTTCTGTTTTCTGATCTTCAGGCCTCTTAATGGCTTTTTCTTGATTCCTCTCATTATCTCCATCCGTCTTGTTGCTGGTCATCCTCTTTCATTTTTACCTTCATCTTTTCTGAGCAAAATGGTCTTTTCCAGTGAATTGGTTCCTCACATAATATGTCCAAAATAAGAAAGCTTTAGTTTGGTTATCTGAGCTTTGACTGAGAGGTGAGGTTTGATTTTATCAAGGATCTTCTTTCAAGAGTCTTTTTTTGCTGTCCAAGGTTCTCTCAAAAGTCTTTACTAACTCCAGCTTGAATGGTATTAATGTTTTTCCTGCTCTGCTTTTGTACTGTCCAGCTCTCACATCCATAAAGAACCACAGAAAAGACCACAGCCTGGACCACAGCCTGGTCTTTGTTTGTAGAGATATATCATTACGTTTAAAGATCTTTTCAAGCTCCTTCATTCTTCTGCCAAGTGCCAATCTGTGTCGTATTTCTTGACTGCCGGGAAATTTGTTGTTAATAATTGTTCGAAGTGGGCACAAGCTGTCCACCACTTCTACATCTTCAACATCAGTGGTAAAGTTAGCGATCTTTGGTTTCTTCACATTGAGATAAAGTCTCATTTTTTCACTCTGTTGTTTGACTTTCCTTGTAAGGGCCTACAGATCTGAAAATTGACGGTTATTGATGTTTCAGTAATATATGGTCATTGATGTTTGGTTATTGATGTTTCATAATGTTAAAGAGATTGTAATATAAAGGATTATGCTTAAAGGCCAAGGAAATGGGTTTAAAATACCAAAACAACACTAAGGTCTCAGCATATGTGTGCCTTCTACTTCTTATGTCCTGTTGGAAAAGCATTCCAGGTAGCTCCTCACGAGAAAGCACCAAGAGTGCATTAAGGCAAAGAATCTTCTGTTTCTCTAAAATTGATTGAACACTTTTTGGTCTCTATATGGTTTATTTCATAGTGTCTTCAGTATAATTCTGCAATGTGGTAAATGGATAAAATAAGGAGAACCTTTCTATGAGTAGGGTTTTTGACTTGTGCTGTGATAGAACACCCTACACTATCTGTCTCATCCTATAGCCCAGCTCTAACTTGGCTCTTTAGCAGTGTGTACAGCAGTCATCCGGGCATAATCCTGTTGCCATCCTCACTACACAGGCAGTTTACAGTGGACCGCATCGTGTGCTGAAGTGGCAATAGATTAGGCCTGGGATTTCCCTTCCTTTCAAATAGAGAGATTGGTTCTGCTGCTGCTTCCCTTCAATTGGCCTCCTCTCGCCAGCGGCGGGATTGAGTATCGCATAACCGCAGTCCCTTTGGCCACACAAATGCAAACCTATTGATGTCCCCAAAACATGTGCTCCATTCTTCTCTAATGATACCCTACATGACGGGTCGGCCATTTGAACAAGGACCAGGCGTGACCGTTTGAAAGAGCTAAGCGCTACGGGCAAATAGGGGCTTGCTTTCCCTCTCAATAGCCTCCCCCCCCAACTCCATCTGGGAGGCACAGCGGTCTCTGACTGTCGGAGTCACTCTCTGAACTTGGCAGTGACATGAGGAGATTTGCTTTGCGTGGGACTCGGCTTCTTCTTTTTCCTTTTTTTTTTTTGGCCAAGCCGTTCCACTTGAGCAAGGCCGCTGGAGGAAGAGACCTGAACCGTGTCCCATATCGCAAATGGCACACTGCCCTGCATTTCCTAATTCACGAGCGCTGCCCTTCAGCCACTGATACCTCTCTAATTAATGGTGCTAGCCTAGGCCTCTGGAAGGATTGCCCAAAGCACAATTTACATGCTTGACTGTGTGGTGCCTTCTAATTGTTTATTATTGGAAAAGTGGTTCAGAACCGTCGGGAAAGGCAACGTTCCTAACGCAACAATCAGTCAGGGCTTGTTTACATGAAGTGACAGATTGATTAAAGGTCTTTGCAGGTGTTGTATGATGTGTGGATGGGTGTGGATATGAGGGGAAAAAGGGGAAGTTGGTTTACTAGCCAGGCATGCAGTTTTGCTAACTTGAGCGCATCGAAAGCATACGAGTTCGGCTGTTTTCGTGCTGTTGGACACGTACCTTGAGTCTGAACATTAAACCTGTGGAGGATTTGGAAAGCATCAAAAGCCTCCTCAGAATTGTCGAGGGATTGAATACTGAGTTCTATGCAGATGGACATACCACTCTGTAATGTCTTCCGGTTTCTCAAACACTAGAGGGCGCTCCCGAGCGAGTCCAAAATAAATGAATTAATATGGATCATTTGAGCAAAATCATAGTTTATAAATGCTTAAACCTTTTTAATGTAAAAGAATACATTAATTTCCTGAACACAGAACAGCCTAAAACATTTTAACACTACTGTTATACTTTTAAGCGTTTTTGAACTCGAGTTATAGGAGTGGCGGTTCAGGTCACCAATCAATCAGCACTCAGTAGCAGTAATGGTAGCGTTGTACTGCCCAAAACCCATTTGCTGTAGAAAAAAGGAAACATACGGCTGAGCTTTTCTTTGCTTTTTAGTGAAATAAATCTTTGTACTTTGTAAAATTAAGATAAAGCTCTGGGCAAGTGATTAGAAACAATTTTAACTTTTGGTTTTTAGCCGTTTACTCTCATTCATTGAGGACTCGCTCGCAGGCGCCTGTTTTTGATATAGTGGGGGAAATAGGAAGTGGCCAGGCACCTCATAAACCGGCTCTGGCCTCACCACACCTTTTCTAGCTGCTGCTAACATCATTGAGCAGTTTAACACTCTTGAAGGAGCACACTTGCTGCTAATTCTGTTACGTCTGCTGACAGACGCCTTTGTTGGTTAGCATCGCACTGAGTGATGGTGAGAGGAAGGACCATCCTACCCACCCAGAGATAGCGAGACCAATTATGCTCTTTTTGACTCCTGGCCATGGATGGCTGTTGCGCCGCTGGGGATTGAACTAGGGCCAGCGCTTAAACTGTTTCTCCACTCAGGAGCTCCACATTTCCGCATTTTGTACATGATGTCTTGTACTTGAAAATGGAAGTAAACAATGCATAAACCACACGGGTTCCACATTGATCAGTCAGCCCACTCACTCTCAAAGCACTACAGTGCATTATACTGATCTTAACTGTGGCATGGTATTGCTAATGCTAGCTCTGTTAGTGTACAGCTGTCTTTGTGCTGACACGCTTTTGGGGAACCAGGCCTTGGACAACAGCCTACATTCTCTTTAATGTAAATCTAATGGCTCATCCTGTGCACTTTCAGTCCTTCACTCCTTCACTTCCCGTTGCTGTGCAGTGTTTCCATGCCAAGTATGCATTATTATTTTATATTGGGAATGAAATCAGTTCACACTGGGATTCAATTTGTTGATGATGTGCATGGGACATTAACCAATGAATCAAGGTTTTTATTTGAAAAATGCTAGAGTTATATATTTCTTGTCGTTTTTAAACACCTCAGTTTATCTATTTGCCATCTAGACATCTAGACTACCCCAAGCTTACGGCTCTTTCTTTTGATAAAATCAAATGTTTATGTGCTGGGCTTTACTATTCAAACTCATGCTTTGTTTTGTGTTTTGAAGTAGTCTGTACCCTATGAAGCCACTCATGTATCTGCTGTGAATTTAGCCAGAAGCGTCTGAGCCCAACAGGATGCAATCACAGAAGAAAGGGACAGAGGAGAGGTTAGCTGTCGATTTCCTCTGATTTGACTCCATTATGCGTCACAGTGGGCAAAACACCAGGGAAGCACTGTTTAAAGTGGTATATCGAGTCATTTTTTTTTATTCTCCCATTTGTTTTCCGTGCACAATTCAGCGGGTTTGTTCGCGCGCATCTCCACTGTATTGTTTCTTGATTAAGCCTGGCTGCCTTTTGAAAAGTGCCATTCTCCTGCACACAGCGGGACGCGTCATATTGAGCGGGGATGTGCAGGTATTGCTCAGGGAGACTGGAGAGAGCCTTGGCTGACTGAAAAAGACAGTGGGAACAAATGCCATAAATCATCCATGATCCAGCACGACGGAGCGGAGACATCAGACCTGACATAATCTGCCCCGTCGTGGATTCCACGTTCTGGGTGACGGATTAATGTTAACCTGACATGCCGGGAATTTTCCTGTTGACTCACTGAGGGATATGGGGGGGAACCCTAAAATAAATGTAATGCTCGTGAGGAATAAAGCGCCTCAGGCAGAAACTGTCTTTTCACATTTCTTCCCTCCGTTTCTATCAGTATTCAAAGAAAGGCGCAGTGTCACTCGGTTCAGAGACCATCTGCACTCTTAAAAATAAAGGTTCCTAAATGGTTCTTGGCTTCTGGGAAAGCATGTAGTTAATATAGAACATTTACACTATGTGGAGGTTCTCTAAAGGGCCCATGTTCTATGTTTTTCGTGTATCTGTTTTTTCCTCTTAGGTCACCTGTTGTGATGTTTGTGTAGGTTTTATATGTCAAAAAAAGTCCTTATTAAGTGTACATGACCATTTTCCAACCTCTCTTTATTTTATATATGTAAATGACCTTTGTTCTGATTGGCTGTCATGCATTCAAGAAACAGTGTGGGCTGAAGCGCCACTTATAACTTTAGTGTGAAGGGGCAGCGCTAAACTGCTGTATAGGAAGACGCAAATGCATCAGTTTTTATGACATCACAACAACTGTCCATATAAACTGTATGAACCGAAGAGCGAACAGTATGTGTGTATGTGTATATATATATATATATATATATATATATATATATATATATATACCAGCACATTCTTCTATGGCATCGCTCCAAAGAACCTTTTTGGCACCTTTATTTTTAAGACTGTAGGTAAACATTGTATCTTTTTGGTTCTGTGTTTTGCAGGTGGGCTCCATGGACTTCATGGCGATTAAGCGCTCTCAGTTGTATGGAATGGGCAGTAGTCCATACTCTCAGCAGCAGCAGGGCGTTCCGTACCCCAGCCAGGCATACGGATCTCCTTCTCCACACAGATACCCGATGGGAATGCAGGGGAGAGGTCAGCTGGGCATGAGCGGGATGCCATATCCTCAACAACAGGTGTGTAGCCTTTTCTCATTAGTTTAAGCACCTGTTGTAAGAAAAGCATCTTTCTCCAAAATGGTATCTTTACAGGAGAAGGAGAACAAACGTTGAGCAGCTGGTGTTTTCAAATATTGTAAAAAAAACAAACAAACAAACAAAAAAAAACATGGAGGTTTTGATATGACAGTGATTTTTTATGTATTATTTAAGTAAACTTAATTCAAGTTCTTCCTGTTTTTATTATTTAACCTTTTAAAAACATTAGCTTTTTTGCACTTTACGTTCTGTGAACATTTAATTATGAATGGACAAATCAACAGAAATTTAAAACGCGAACCTTTTAAATGTAACTTATATTAAAGGAGAGTTCCATCCTTTTTTTCAAAATATGCATAATTCAACCACTGAGATGTCATGCAGAGTGGTTTGTTGTGAAATGGTTCACTGAAAAGAAACTTATCAACTCAAGATTTCTTCCAGTGGTGGTGATAAGAATCAGGGGTTGTGATGTCTACAACACAAATATAGCCATTTTATTTGCTATCCAAATAGGGATAAATCTGAACAAATATGATTTATTTGGGGACTGTTTTGCCTTACAGTGTCCTGCATGAATGTTTTTAAAAATATGTTTTAGGCCAAAATTTTATCTGTCCTTAATCAGTGTCTCAGACATCAGGCATTTCATGTAACCATTCCATGTAATAACTTTCTGTGATGAAGCTTTTAAGGGCATTAAGCCATTCAGCCGTCTGGTTCCCATCACCACCACTGTGAACAATCCTGACTAGGTAAGTTTCTCCAGAATAGGACTATTTTAACATGCAGAAATTTTGTAAAATCATAGAATTCCCACTTTAAGCATATTTTAAGCATGTTTTTTACCTTCCTATAAAGTTACCTTTTCTGTGATACTACGTTTTTCCCACAACAGCGCTAATATGAGGCTATTTTATAGAAACATCCAAGAGTGCATATCTTTTTAAGTTGCTTGTACTGACTGATTGATTGATGTCCCGCATCCTTTGTCTCACCAGTCAACCAACAGCGGGTGTCTTGATTTATTGAAAGTAGAGCAGAAACACTCAGCATCGCGTAACATGGAGCTTCACTTCAGTCCTGGAAGGATGCTGGATCCTTTTGTTTCATATGAGGCATAGCTTATTGCTTTCTGTCTGCTTTGCTCTGCCTGGCCTGCCTGGTCCAGTGAAGCCGGCTGGGCTATTCTGAGCCTCGCTCAGTGTCCCCCTGCCACAGTGCTATATTTAGCCAGGGTTGTTGGTCTTAGTTTTAATGCGTCTCTGGAGAGCTGTTGGCACACACGGTCTCTGGCTCTGAGAAAGCCTGACCTCTCATAATCCCTCCAAAGATGAGAGAAAGTGGAAAATGAGAAACAAGCGTCTCGTAAAAGCTCCATCTTTACTACAAAAGTGGAGGAAATAAGCCAAACAGGGCGGCAGGCATGAGAAACCTGATCCAGGCACACGGTTCGGCAGAAGAAACACGCCGGTCGTGCTCGCGTAGCATATGGCTTATCCAGCGATTCAGCAGGAGACCCTTGTGGTTCTTGGAACAATGTCATTGTTTGCTTACTCATATCAGTGTTTGGTGTTAGTCTCTTGTGAGGATTATCATTGTATCTCTGATTAAAGTTGGACCTCTGGAGTCTGATATTCTGGCTTTGACTGGATTGTAGGACTTGGCAGTTTGTGTTCGAGAGTTCCTCTTGTAATCTTCCCAAGACAGCTTCAGGCTGTCATTTGGCATCAGCGTGTACCATTCAGATGCACTGGGACTGAATTCTAGAGAGTCCCAAAGAAAAATAAACTCATTTTCCCACATTTTATTTTATTTACTTGGAGAGAAAGACCGCTGGGTCGACAGTCACACAGCAGCCACACCAAAATAATTAGTCAAATTAATCGTTATGCTCTGCTGTGGCCAAGGGAGATAACTTCTGAAGTTATGATTATCACTCGCTAACATTAAAAGGGGAGCACTGGAGTGTGATTGTGAAATATAAATAACCAAAAGTAATAAGTTCATAGCCAGAATAATTTGCACTGTTCAAGTTGTACTTACAGATAATTTGTAATGACTGCAGCGAATTATTGTTTGGCCTGTCAGAAGAAGAGATTCAGATATCGTTAGGAATTTAACAAAATCGAGCTGGAGCGTGGTGAGAAATGGATCTGGACGAGCTTCAGACCTTTCCCATGATGCCCTCTGTCCGTGGCAGTGCTCTCAGCTTGGTGCATTCAGGCTGTGTAGCCCTGTAAGACTGGATTGCGTCACAGGCGTCTGATGGTGACACCAGTGTCCTCCCTGCTGCTGTCATCTGCTGCCCACTGTCTGTCTGCTCTCGGCTAGGGCAGGGACAAGGCCTTGGAGTGGAGCTAAGAAAAGACACATACAAAGACAAAGACACTGAGGCTGCAGCCGAATGCAAATCCCTCTGCAAAGCCTTAATTTTTACAGTAATCAGGCTGAGGACTTTAATGTACATATGTACAGTGCTTAGAAAATAAAACAGGTGAAGGTTGTGCATTTATAAGGATGATACATCAATTGGCCGATAATATCACCTGATAATGATAACTTACAGTTTTATCAGTATGGTCAAAAATATTGCAGATATTATGCCACATTTTTTATTTTGCTGAGAGTCTGACTTGCGAAACCATCAAAGGTGGAACCACAGGGAAGCCCAATAAGAGTCACGCCCGTTTACTTATATCACAGCAATAAATACTTGTGTATGTATTGTATATTCTACACTCGTTTCACACGATCATGTATCTACACTATATGTTGTCCTGTCTAAAGTGCTGCCAGTGCATGCTGCACTATGTGGCCTGAAGAATGACGTTCCATTTTAATGTATACAAATAATATTGAGGATTAACAATAATGATCACTTGACTTGACAACATGGTCAAATTGTGAATTTAAGCACAAAAGATTATCATGTTTAAAACAGTTGATGTAAAATGTATAAAATGTATCTCAATCCACCCTAAGAATGTTATAACACTAGAGTGAAAAAATGAATTACAGGTAGTTATTATGAGTTTCTGCTGTTTATTTGAGTTTAAGAAGAGTGACGAATGAGAGCTCTCAGTCATATCAGTCAGTAAAGCACTGTTTAACTAAAACTACTGGAGTATAACAAAATAAAATATCGGTCAAAGTTATCGATTATTGATTGTCAGTTATTGAAATTTTTAGGCCCCTAAAATTGGTATCACTACTGGACACAATTTTAAATCAATCTCCATTTTTTTGCTTTATTCATTTATGATTTTTTACATAATTTGAAGATGCCCACTGCCCTTTACACTGTGTCACAATTTTATGATGAATAGATCAATAGAAATGTTCCAAAATGACTTGTTTCAATAACTTACAGACATGAGGTTTTGTTCTGACAGTGACAACATATTGTTTATTAATTTTTGCATGTTGGCTTATACTTAATACTGTTATCACAGTCTGAAACAGGCAAAAGAGCCCTCTGACCAGTCCCATGTTTTAATATGTATGCTTTGAGCTAACTGACCAACCACAGCTTCAGATATGCTTCTGTGTGTGTTAGGATGAATTGAGGTGTTCAAGCTATTCAACAGAATGACAGCTTTGTGCTTCTTTTACACACACAACGCTCCAGCTCCACATGCTGATCCATTTTACTGTGAAAATGACCAACATGGACATGCATACTCACCAACTGCTCTGGGGCAGAGTGTAATAAGTTAAAGGAGGCAAAGACAAAGTGAGACATCAGGTTTGATATGAGTCATATGTTACAAAGCGCACTGCAATTGCAATATATAGCAGTAAAATTGCAGTATGGCCCTTTTGTCCATATCATGCAGCCCTAATGTTTACCATTAAATAAGGCTTGGTTAAGTTGTGCTACTGCCCTACAATGGCGAGCTTTTTTGTTCCGAATTTCACAGTGCATGCTGGGGTTTTACTCTCTGTAACATGAACTCATTTTACCTCTGTTTTTTTTCCCCCCTCTTGTCTGAGCGATCCACTAACTGCTCAGGCAGCAGGAGGAGAGATTTCACCTTTTCCTCTCCAGTTCCTCTCTCCCTCCGCAGATGTGTCAGTTCTTTCACTAACCATGACATGCATGCGCTGGCCCGCTTTCACAGGGTTACCCGTCTCCCCGGGGAGTCCTCGCCATCCAGCCTACTGCGAATTAAGCCGCTGAAGCAAGCTAGACGAGCAGGAGATTGTGTTTTTAGAGCAGGCTTTTAGTGTAGGTTCTCCAGAAGATCACACTAGCGTACAACGTGGGCCTTTTTCTCTTTATCCTCATTACTTGTTCTTGCCTGCTTGAGACGTATACAGGTATTGGCTGCACTTTCATCTGGGGAGAGAAAATTAGGCCTGGAGCAAATTTTTAGATGCTCCAGATTAGATAAATGTCTCTGTGTCTTTGTCAAAATGCAGCGGCGGTTCCACGTGCAGGAACCGGAGAGCAAACAGGAGACACGAAGGCCCGCACTGATGACAGGAGTTGGGCTCTTTGTTTGGAAGTGGAATGAACTTGAAAGTAAAAGGCCTGCCAATTCCAGTGCAATTTCCTGTGATGTCAATGTTGGCAGACAGAAAGGAAAAAGAATTTGAAGGCAACATTAGCGTTTGATGTGAAGGGAAGAGAGAGATTGGCTGCGAAATGAAAGAGGGAAAATGTGTCAACAAGCCAGGAAAGCAACCATTACTGGTTTTGCTGCTGCTTGTTTCTTACCCATTCGCCTAAGTTAATAGAATCTAACCATTATACGGGAGTGGAAATGTTGCCTTGTCCTCTGCTTTTCTTGTACAATAACAGCCTGTGTCGTTTTAGTTCTATTCTCTTTGAGTCTGGAGGCTGAGGCCATCGCTGATGGGTTCTTTTATTGGAGGAAAAAACCTGTGGCTGCATTAATACGCGCTTCCTTCTCCACAGGTTTGACCTTGAAGCATGTTGGTACTATGTTCCTTTCCCTTGTAAAAGTTGGAGG